GGACAAATCCTCAGCTAGGAATCAGGACACTTGGATTCCAGAATCAGCTCTGCCCCTGCCATTTCAGTGCCACTGGACCAGTCTCAATTCTCTCTGTACTTCAGTTTTTCCACCTGGGAAAAAAAGAGGGTTTGGCTAGGTCATACACAAAATAAGAGTTCTTTGGTTAAAATAAATCAGGAAAATAGTGCATATTCTGTTTCCCTTATGGAGAATCACAAAATATATTAGTATCTTGGAGCAAAAGAGGAAGGAGAGTCAGGAATAGGAGAAGAAAATGGAATGTGTAGCTAATTGCTTTCATGAACAAAGAACTGCCTTCTTTGCCATGAGACCAGAACTGGATGGTGCCTGGCTATCATAACTGAAAGTCTTGATCAAAAATTCTATATAAGAATCCTGATCAAAAGGGAGAAAACACAGAACATAATTTCAAATTCTCGTGGACTCCAGACTTTTTGCAACCATGGAGGCTGGATGAACCCCGAAACTATTGCCCTAGGTAATCTTTAAACCTTAAACCAAAAATATGCTCTGAATTCTTCTCAAAACCAAACAATAAGCTTAGCTTAACTAGTAAAGAATGTCTGCCTTGAGCATTGTGTTCTTTTAAGAACTATCTATATGGGATCAAATTGGCAACAGCTATTCAAAAGATTAAATAGGAATCTTAGAGAGTGATGAGTTTATGTTAATGGGGAGGAACAACTCAGAAATGGAGAGTGCAAATGGTCGTACAACTCAAAGAATGTAGTCAATGTCACTGAATTGTACATGTAGAAAATGTTGAATTGGTGTACTTTCTACAGTGTATATTCTCAACAACAATAAAGAAATTTCTTTAAAAAAATTATTATCATAATAAAGAAGCCTGTTGCATTTGGTTTAATCTACTATTTCCCTATTTATTAGATCCACTGATTGGGTTTTTTTTTTTTTTTTAGTGCAATAACTACACCACAATTCCATCAGAGAGGCATTTAACTAAGCACTGAGTCTAAAACCCAGTAAGTAAGCTATTACCTCATTACATGTGTTAACCCTCTCTAAAACCAATCAATACATGTGAAGGTTATGAAAGCTGGTATTAAAACAAACCACCGTTCATCTGTCAGCTTATCATACTGTGGTACCCTGTGTATTGCTATGATGCTGAAAGCTGTGCCATCAGAATTTAAAATACCAGCAAGGTCACCTCTGGTGGCTGTTTCAGCAGAGCTTCCAGAATAAAACAGACTAGGAAGAAAGACCTGGCAATCTACTTCTGAAAATTAGCCAAAGAAAGCCCTGTGGATTCCAACAGAATATTGTCTGATACAGTGCTGAAAGATGATCCCTCTCTGTTGGCAGGCACTCAAAATACAGAATGGCCTAATGAACTGAAACATGCCAAGTATCACGAAGATGGTTCAGGGACAAGCAATATTTCCTTATGCTGCACAGGGGGTCACCATGAGTCAGAGTCAACCTGATGGCACTAAAACCAAATGGTGTATACTCTAGACCAACAGGAACACTATAAAATTCACCCACCCATCCTTCCTTCCTGACAAGGGAGTTAATTGTTCTTTTTAGGCAGAATAGGTTGAATTCTCAAGCATCAGCTTTAATGTTTTCATTTTGTTCCTTCCAGCTACACTTAGTGTGCATAAGAATTACTGCACAGGTGGGATTGATGGTAAAAGGGTGCCTTCAACTTTATCTGTAATGTTTTCTTTTTCTTAAAAAAAACTGAGGCAAATATGACAATATTCATACTGAAGACTGGTCTTTGATCTTCACCAGTAAGTGCTTCAAGTAATCTTCACTTTCAGCAAGAAATGTTGTGTCATGTGCATATCAATGGTTTTTAATGAGTCTTCTTCCAATCCTGATGCCACATTCTTCTTCAGGTTCTCAGATTATTTGCTCAGTATACAGATTAAATAAGTATGATGAAAGGATACAACCCTGATGCACATCTTTCCTGATTTTGCACCATACAGTGTCCCCTTGCTCTGTTCAAAAAACAACCTCTTGGTCTATGTATAAGTTCCTCGTGAGCACAATTAAGTGTTCTGGAATTCCCATCTTTTGCAGTGTTGTCCATAATTTGTTATGATCCACAAAGTTGAATGCCTTTGCATAGTCAATTAAACACACATAAACATCTTTCTGATATTCTTTGCTTACAGGCAAGATCCATCTGACATCAGCACTGATATCCCTCATTCCACATTCTCTTTTGAATCCAGCTTGAATTGCTGGAAATCCCCTGTCAATATATTGCTGCAACCATTTTTTAATTATCTTTGGCAAAATTTTTCTTGCATGTGATGTGAATGATACTGTTTGCTAATGTCCACATTCTGTTGACTCAGTTATCTTCAGAATGGGCACAAATATTGATCTCTTCCAGTTGTTTGGCCAGATAGCTGTCTTCCAAATTTCTTGGCAAAAATTAGTAAGTGCCTCCAGCACTACATCCATTAGTTGAGGCATCTCAGTGGATATTCTGTCAATTCCTGGAACCTTGTTTTTCACTGATTCCTTCAGTGCAGCTTGGACTTCTTCCTTCAGTACCACTGGTTCTTGATCATATGCTACCTCCTGAAATGGATGAAGATTGACCAATTCTTGTGAACATGTTTTAATTTTCTTCAGCTTCACTTTGAATTTGCATCTGAGCAACTGATGGTCTGTTCCACAGTCAACTCCTGGCCTTGTTTTTATTGATGATACTGAGTTTCTCCATCACCTCTTTCCACAGATATAGTCTATTTGATTCCTGTGCATTCCATCTGGCAAGGTCCACATATATAGTTGTTGTTTATGTTGTTGATAAAATGTATTTGCAATGAATGAGTCATTGGTCTTCCAAAATTCTATCATGCAAACTACAGTGTCATTTCTGTCACCAAGGCCATTTTTGAAACTACCAATATTTCTTCTTTGTTTCCAACTTTCTCATTCCAATCACCAGTAATTATCAATACATCTTGATAGCATGTCTGGTCAATTTCAGACTGCAGAAGTTGGTAAAATATTCAATCTCTCCATCCTTGACTTTAGTGATTGGTGCATAAATTTGGACAATAGTAGTATTAACAGGTCTTCCTTGTAGGGGTATAGATATTATCCTGTCACTGACAGCACAGTTCTTCAGGACAGATCTTGAACTGTTGTTTCTGACAATGAATGTGATGCCTTTCCTCTTCTATTTGTCATTCCTGGCACAGTAGACCATATGATTATCTGATTCAAATGGCCAATACTAGTCCATTTCAGCTCACTAATGCCTAGGATATCAGTCTTTATTTGTTCCATTTCATTTTTGGCAACCTCTAATTTTCCTAGATTCATACGTCATATAATCCATATTCTGATTATTAATGAATGTTTGTTTCTTCCCATTTTGAGTCGTGCTGTATCAGCAAGTGAAGGTCCTGAAAGCTTTACTCCATCCACATCATTTATGTCAACTCTACTTTGAGGAGGCAGCTCTTCCTCATTAATATTTTGAGTATCTTCCAATCTGAGGGGCTTATCATCCAGCACTATATCAGACGTGGTGTTTCAATGCCATTCATAAAGTTTTCAAGTAATACATATTAGACAGAGTTTCACTGCTATTTATGTTAAATATTTTAAAAATTAAAACAAAATAAATGTTACTTAAGTAACATTTAAATATAGTCATGTGCTGCATAACATCTGTTCAGGCTACTTCTACTCACATTTATATCCATGGTCAGCTCAGAAATCCTGATCAGAGAATGAGATGTAGTGAATGCAACAGCTTACTGCATGCAACATGTCTGTCTCATGTCTGTTGTATACAAAGTAATTGTGCTGCTAGTCATATAATTGTACAGTCCATATATAACCTAGGAAGCTCTGGTAGTATAGTGCCTAAGGCACCTGACTGCTAACCAGAAGGCTGGCGGTTCAAATCCACCAGCCACTCCTTGGAAGGAAGGTTGGGCAATCTACTTCCGTAGTGATACTGCCTCGGCAACCGAAGGAGGGGTTGCTATGAGTTGGGTCCAATTTGATGGCATTTAACAACAACATATATAACCTATATATAACCTTGACAGTCATGATAAACACCTCTGTTACTGGCTTATGTATATACTGTACTGTACTTTCTATCTAAAAAGTTTACCTATAATAGCATATATTTTGATTCATAGGCAGGTGCATACAATCTCATGTATCAAGTCTCTTGAGTGTTGTCACGTTATCTCTCTGTTTAATTTTCTTTCAAAAATTTTACCATGAAGTGAATCATGGCTGCCAAACACAGCAAACTAGTGCTAGTGACAGCAGCAGCAAGTGGCAAAGAAGAAGTATCATCTGGAAGCAAAAAAGGTTGTTAAATAACATGAAAGTAGAAAATCAGTGAATGCTATTGCTCATGATTTATGCATGTCACACTTGATAACCACTTCAGTCCTCAAAAACAAAAACAAAAAAAAGTCTCCAAGCTCTTAAAGGACTGGTTCCACTATAAGTGACAAGGCTAATGAAAATGCAAGATGGACCCAAATCAGATATGGCAAAATTGCTAATGACATGGATTGAAGACCAAACACAAAAGCAAATCCCTCTCAGCATGTTGATAATCACTGCAAAGGCATGAAGCTTGTTTGAGATGCTTAGTGAAAAATCAGGACCAGACTACGATATGGTGTTTGCACAACATCCAAATCACATAACATCCTATTTCACAGAACATATCTTAGACATTAAGCAATGTATGACCATAACCTGAAATCAGAGTTGAATACACTTTATGGGGCAGTTAGGTGACTTCTGAGGCTAATTATGACTCATGTGTTTTATTTACTTCATGCACAGACTTTATAATCCCACCCTCACATAAGATGACCCACACTCTATCTAATTAAACATCTTCCAGAAAGGACTTTAGGAAGCACTAGTAGAGAGCATCTGGGCCTCCCAGAGTTGACATCTGGGCCTAACCCTACCCCCACCTCCTTGTCTCCTGGCTGTAGGACTATAGGGTCAACATCTTCCTGCGGCAGCAGTGGAATGACCCCCGGCTGGCATACAATGAATATCCTGATGACTCTCTGGATCTGGACCCATCCATGCTGGATTCCATCTGGAAACCTGACCTGTTCTTCGCCAATGAGAAAGGGGCTCACTTCCACGAGATCACCACGGACAACAAACTGCTGAGGATCTCCAGGAATGGAAATGTCCTCTATAGCATCAGGTGAGTTCCCTATAGGTTCACCACCTCCATCCTCAGAATGTACGTTGCCCCATTGCCTTCCAGGAGCAGACACTAAGAGGGAGGCCAAACATATTGGGCTTTGGCAGCTCTCTACCCTTGCAGAATAGGCTGACCCAGAGCCGTAACTGATGCTCAGTAAGAATTAAATATTATGTGAAGTCCTATGAGGGAGTTGTTCATTCTAGCCAGAGAAACCAGGGAAGGCCTCCTGGAGAAGATGGGGTTTAAATTAGGCCCCTAAAGTTACCCAGTATTTCAGTAAAACATGATGGAAAAGGATACTCAAAAGAAAACGATCAACAGCAGAAGCAAAGGCAAAAAGCCTGGAAAATCACAGCAATCTCAGGAAGTGAATGGTCCTGCCAGGTGGATGGTGCTGCCCACAGATAATAAGCCAGGGCTGCTCTGTCCTTCTGTACACCCTTTCTAACCCCGTACCTTGCACTCAGTCTACGAGGCTGCAACCTCCTTCCCCAGCTGGGAAGAATCCTGCACATAGTGATTAGGGGCAAAGTTTCAGAGTCTCTGGCCACCACCTCTTCCCACCTAATCCACAGTCTCCTCCCGCAGGGCATGGGGAAAATGACCAATGTCCATGGGATGGTGAAATGGGCTTACCAAAATACTACCTACTGCAGTTGGGTTGATTCTAACTCATAGCAAAACTATAGGACAGAGTAGAGCTGCCCCACAGGGTTTCCAAGGCTGTATGTAATCTTTACAGAAGCCAACTTCCACATCTTTCTACCGTGGAGCAGTTTGTGGGTTCAAACCACCCACCTTTTAGTTAGCAGCTGAGTGCTTAACCACTGCACCACCAGGGCTCCTTGGAATGACCCTATACATGTAATAACAGTCACCATTCCTTGAGAATTTATTTAGTAGCTTGGATACTTCACATATATTATTTTTAACCCTTCTAACAACCCCATGATGTAGGTTTTATTATGCCCCTTTTGCAGATTATAAAATTAGGATCTGAAAGTTTGAGCAACTTGACAAATTTTCCACAGTTAGTTAGTAGCAGCACCTAGATTCTATTTTAGTGTGGAACTAATGCTTGCTCAGAGCCTAGAAGATTAGTGCCTGGTATTCAGTAGGTGCTTAAATATTTGATGAATAAAAGAATATGTTTGTATTTCAAAGGGATAAAATGGCTGTGGTCCTAAATATGATTCCCCCTGCTCCTCCATCACTTTTTCAGAAGAATAAACCTTCTTATTTCTCATCAGGAGATGAATCTTAAATTTCCTGGGCATGGGGAGGCAGGAGCCTATATAAGTTCTAACACTCAGGTGTGACAGAGCCCAGAGCCTCTCCTGAGAGCAGTCTAGGGGGTGGAGGGAGCCTTAGGAACCTCAGTAGGGAAAAGAAGGTGCCACTGAAAGGCGGACTTGGAGGAACCAGAGGGTGATGTGTCTTCCTCACCCTGGAACCCATCACCACCCAGACTGGAATGGTGCTGGGCTGCAGAAATGGTCACCAAGACCCTAGATGACCAGAGGGGAAGGGGGGTCACCCTGCTTTTGGATTTTGCTGCTACCAGGCTAGGTTCACATCTCTGGGAAGCTCAGCCCCAGTGCAGCATGACAGAAGGACAAATCAGCAGAAAATGATGTTCCCAAGGTCATTCAACTTCAGGAAATTAACCCAGTGTGACAGCTGCCCCATTTTAGAGCTTTTATCTTCAGAAATTCAACTGCATTCACTTTTCCTTCACCTTCCCCCTCCTTCCCACATTCTCTTCTTTTCCTTCTTCTTTCCCTCCCTCTACTTTTCCTTTTTTTCCCCTCTAGCTTCTTTCTTATGCTTAAAGGGCCCACCTCCAGGGTTCCAGGTGTGAGCTTGGAGGATGGAGTTTACACAGGGCTGTGTACCTCTGGAACATCACCAATTAGGGTCTTAGTGCATAGGGGAAAGCTTTTCAGTACAGCAGTGCTGGAGGGCCAGCCAGCAATCACATAAGCTGAACTCTTTGGGACTAAGACTCCAAAGGCCAGGAGTTATGATTCTGAGCCTGTTGAGCCATCAACTTGCTGTGTGACCTTAGGCAAGTCACTTCCTATCCCTCTCTGCACTCCAGTTTTTTACCTGTCAAATGAGGAAGTTGTCTGATGACCTAAGGCTCTTTGGGCTCAAAGATACTGTGGCTCTGAGACTCTCACTCTTCCTTCTCCATTCTTTAGTAGACAGTCAGATGTTGGTAAAGCCTTTCAAGATGAAGCCCTGTAGCAAGCATGAACTGCAGGGCTAACATTCTGTGAAGGGGACTCCTTTTAGCTTTGAAGCTGCAGCCTCTGCAAAAGGTTGAACAACCTAAATTAAACAACTAGCCTAGAAGCCTATGTGACCACCACTTCCCAACAGACACCACCATGAGCCCACAGATGTAAGTCAGCTGTATTTGGACATCCAGAAGGCAGGGGGTCTCTTTGAAATTACTTGTGATGAGCCCAGTGCAAAGGGAGACAGCCAGGAAGCACATGTAGTATCTGCTGCCAGGGCTCCTGAGGACGCCTGAGGCTCTGTGCTAGTCAATGTAAAATCTGGGCTCTGCAGAAATGTGGAAATGGGGGTGGGGGACAGATTTTGGCCTCTAGGACTTTAGGCAAGTTGCTGAAGACAAATCTCTCCAAACCAGACAGACTCCCAGAAGTTCCACTGACCCTGTATGGCCTTCAACAACCTGCTTCACCTCTCTCCACTGCCATTCTCATATCTGGAACACAGAAATACACATACATTTATTCAAACTAAATAGTAATTCCCTGACCTCCTTTACTTCCCCTGGACAAATCATTTTCTGACAGTAATGAGAATATAGGCACAGCTTCCCTGGTTTTGGATCCAGCATCATTCAATTCTCCTTTCTTCCCAGAATCACCCTGACACTGGCCTGCCCCATGGACTTGAAGAATTTCCCCATGGATGTCCAGACATGTATCATGCAACTGGAAAGCTGTAAGTCCCCTGAATGAAGTCTCTGGAAAGAACCTACCTCCTATTTACCCATGAGACAGGGAGAAACTCCCATTCAGTTACTCCTAACCAGAGCCCCCAGGGATTGCTGTAATTATCTAAAATACTAGAAGAGGAGCTTTGCTTTTGGAAAATATATTAGAAATATAACTCCTCTTACACTGTCAGACTGAGGATCCGGAAACATTCTCTAAAGAAGCACTGTTCCATGTCCCTGTGAACATCCTCTCCTGGGATGGAAGAGAAATAGCTTGAATAAGGGATGGTCCTTGAGCTCACAGGGATGTTCACCCCAGCAGGAGAGACAGAGGAATGCACAAAAAATAATACAGGGTAGAAAATGGTAAGTGTGCTGTCAGAAGTACAAAGTGCTATGGTCTTTTGGCCAAAGGAGTACTTTCTTCTAATTGGGAAGGAGGAAAGGTATTTGAGAGCTTTAGAGGGGAGATCACCTGTGGATTTTAACAGTTGGGGTAGCTGAGTTCTTTGATTGACAACTTGCTAACTTAAAAATGGAATGAAGTGATAGGATATAGGAAATACCAGCAGACTTGAAAGAAAAGCTTTTCTTTCAAGGGGTCAGGGTCAGAGTCAGGGCAGGAGATTTAGGCCACAGTTTTCTCAGAGTATGGCCTCTAAGGGAGTCAGCACCAACCATTTCTAAACCTTTAATCACTTTACTCAAGAGCCAAAGTGTTGGGGCAGAGAGTCTGATTGGAGTAACCATTTTACACCTTGGCCCCCAATGTCAGTCCCACCAAGATAGCAAGTGGTTCCCAGAGGAAAATCTGCTGTGAGCAAAAAAGGGTGTTCCCATGGATGGTGTGCAGGTAAAACAGCAGATGTCAGCTGCACTTGATCATGGGAGTGAGGGGTTGGGGCAACAGAACAAGTGAAGGCCGGATGCTGGAAGAGGTAGGAGGAGAGGTGGAAGGGCTGTGGGGTGGATATAAACATAAATAGTTACATGAGCTTTCCTCTCTTTCGTGGGGGAAAAAAGCAACATGTTCTCATGATTTCCATCAATTGTCTGATGTCCCTCTCAGTTTCTAACCCTGACCAACCCTGCGTGCTTCACATAAGTGCTTCTGGGTAGTGATTGCTCCTCCCTCTAATCCCATACCAGTTGGATACACCATGAATGACCTCATCTTTGAGTGGCAGGAGCAGGGAGCTGTACAGGTAGCAGATGGACTAACCCTGCCGCAGTTTATCCTGAAGGAGGAGAAGGACTTGAGATATTGCACCAAGCATTACAACACAGGTGGGTATAAGAGAAAACTCCCCTTCTATACCCCCAGCAGGGCTGGAGGTCATTTCCAACATTCATTCAGTCATTGATTCAACAGACTTTATGAAGTGATGGGCACAGCTCTGAATTGACTGTCTAGTGGTTAAAAGAATAGCCTTAGAAACCAAAAAGTGTCTCTAACACTTTGTTCTTATGAATCCCGGGGCAAGTAACTTAAGCTTAGGCCACACCTAATTACAAAGGAAGCTGGAAAATATAGTCTTTATTCCATGTGTCAGTATGCCAACAAAACTGAGGTTCTTATTCCTAAGGTGGAAAAAAAAAAAAAAATTGCCATTAAGTCAATTCTGAGTCATGGCAACCCCATGTGTTACAGAGTGGAACTGCTCCACAGGGTTTTCTTGTCTGTACTTGTTATAGAAGCAGACCACCTGACCTTCCATAATGCTGCTGAGCACGTTCAGACTGCCAAGATTTAGATTAATGGTAGGGCACAAACCAGTTGTGCTGCATAGGGCCCATTCCTAAGGCAAAAGGGAAGAAGTGATATTTAAAAGCCATCTAGCAGTCTGCCACAGAGGAACTGGTATTTCTGGTAAAGCAAAAGCACCTAGCAGAGAATGCTTATTTTAGACCTTAGCAAGAGGGAGCTGAGAGGTGCCATTGAAGACTACTAATAAATAGCAAAGTGGGAAAGATCCACTAGACTGTGAGCGCCAAGAAGATGGGGAAAACACAACTGTTTAGCTCAGCACTGCCGTAGTGAAGCATCAGGCTTATACTCTGTTAGAAGGGAAAGCAAAGAGTTTTATTGAAAGGTAGAGAGATTCGTGAATGGGGAGGCACACTAGCACCTGGGTAGGATACTATATAGTGTTCCAAATTGCAAGAAGAGAGTGAGATGTTTATCAGGTGGCATAAATAAAGGGTGATGTACTCATAGTGTGAAGTGCTCAAAGAGTGATGTTATGCACATGACAAAAAAACTACAAGGGGGTTGTTAAACTACACTCCTTAACATAATCATTTCTAATTTCTAATCTCCTGGAACATGTTAACCAAGGCATTTTTCTTGGATCAAGACATGCAAACATGCTGGACAAGTATCTTTTAACTAACAGTTCCTCACACAAGCTAAAATCTTAACCCTTGTTCCTTTTGGGTTACAAGCAGTTACACATTTACAAGAAGCTAAACAGCCTCTTCAGAACAGCAGACACAGAGATTTTAGGCTGTTTCAGTTTGATTAAAAATGGAGTTTAATTTAGATCTAAATGGGCAGCCATTTTAGTCATGCCTTGGTTTGGAGTTCGCTTACACATTCTTTCCCTTTTGATCAAGCCACTACTAGGGGGCTCAGATCACACACAAAGGAGTTACTCATGCTCTTCAAGGATTTAATATTTCAAGGATGACTGATCCATTTGAGCTTTTAAGACCCCAGATGCCAGCTCTGTTATTAGAGGAGGTTTCAGGCCTTATATTCATGGTCAGCTGGTTCTCATTGAGGAAGGTGTTGCAAACAGGGCCATGTTAGAGGAACTACCTGGCATTCCAAAAAGTCTGATCCTAGAACTGAGCTGAATTCTCCTTAGAAAAATTAATTTATTCTAAATACATGATTTGTTACATGGTAGATGTCTCGAAGGTTAGCTGTAGCAATGAGAAATATATTTATATATATTTACAGGAATAATATATTTACCAAACTCTGTAATGACAATTACAGTGATTAAAAGGAGTAGGCAGGCTAGTAAGAAAGAGATATTCTAGATCTGATACTTTGAGGTAACCAAGAAAAAATATCAAAGAAGAAAGGGAAGGTCATAGGGGGAATAGTATGTAACCAGGAGGTATTTTAATATTTAATGTATTTTTGTAATGTCTTGTTCTACTTCTCCAGAGGTGCTATCCATGAACAGCAAGAGGTATTAGTAGTAGCATAAACTCCTCCTTGTTGAGTTAGTAGGAAATCAAGGGATATTGTATTATCAAACTATTTAGCGAGGGATCCTACGGACTTCTGTTGAGCTGTCATTCCATCAGTGACATTATCAGCAATTTGGGCTGTAGTAGCAGATAGACTGTGAATAGATTTTTCTGATGGTAATATACCATATGTGGGAACAAATGCTCAAAGAAATGACCAGCCCCACCAGCCCAGCCCTATCAGCAATGGGATTATCTGAGAGGACAAATTCTCTTTTCTGCAGGGATATTCACTGCAAGTCAATGTTCCATAGAAAGCTGTCACTGTATGAAGGGATACTCATGAGAACTCCAAGGGTCCCTAAGGTGAATTGACCCCACATATTCCAACAATCTCAGCTTGTCAAGGCCCAATTATAGAGTGAGTCATCAGACTTTACTCTTAAATAAACTGATCTTCTTCACAAAAAGACATATCCAGATGGGCAAATAACATACCTGCCCTGGTTTGAGTATGAGGAAATGGACTGAACTGATTGGTCCTTTCAAGCCAGTCTATAGTCAATGAATCATCACAAATAGATAATTCTGCAAATTCTAGGTGATTCCAGAGTTGGTCACAAACTGGGGGATTTTTGTGATTAATTATAATTATAAACGTACTATTGAGGAATAATAGAGAATGTTACTAACAAAAAGTTGATATTGTGTGGCAGGAATACAACATCCATCAGGACTCCCAGGCATAAGTAAGACTGAAACAAGGAGGTAATGGATAGGTGGATAATTCTGAAGGTAACCATAACTTAACACAAATGGCCCATTTAAAAGGTTTTTCAAAATACATAACAAAGTTAGATATGAACTTATAACCTAAAACTGGTACAGCAAGGGGGTAAATATGGTCTTATGTGGGCTGAGGAGAAGGGTGAAATACCAAGCCATCAGTCAAATCACTGGCACTGGCTACTGATTGAGTTTATTTGATAAAAGCATTTTCATTCCAAGAATCAGTTGTGGTTATGATAAAATAATAATAATAATAATGTTCATAAAAAATTTGATAATGGAGAAAGATTAAGTAGTTATCTAACAGAGACAATAATAATAAGTATAAAACATGTTAGTCAATTACCAGGAGATGAACCCAAGTTGATAAAATAAAGCTAATTTTAAAGGCTATAAGTAGTAAGTAGAGATTTCAATTTCTAGCATAAAGAATAAAAGGTTTAATCTATTAGGTTAGGGTTAAAAAAATATTCAATGTTACCAAACCATGTAATCTAGTTCTGTGTTTCTTGAGATCAGCTACTTGCTTTTGAAGTTTTCTACTTCTGGCCACTAGAATGTTTCAGTCTGAGTTTCAAATCTCCATTTGGCTGACAAGTCCAGATAGGTACTTTAGCTTTCTTTAGCTGTGATAAAATGATCCAATAGTTAATTCCTTCTAGTTTTCACTGCACAAGGATTAATTAAGAGAACTAATAAGGCTCCTTCCAGTGGAGTTCTAAACAAAATTTTGGTTGGTGCCTTTTCCAACAAACATAATCTCCTAGGGCAATATTAAGTAAAGGAAGAGAACGAAGTTTTTTGCTCCTCAAATGCTTCTTTAATTTGTGAATATTTCTTAGAGTATTGCATTAAAGATTGACAATATTTCAATAATTCAGTTTGTACCAAGTTGGGGTCAGCAGAGGCAATGTAGGGAAGAATCATAGACCTTCCAATAATTATTTCATAAAGAGTAAGTTTATGAGAGCCAAAAGGAGTGCTTCTTAAATTTAAAAGAACTAAAGAGAGAACTTTAGTTCAAGACAAATGAAAGGATTCAGAAAACTTAGCAAATTGGGTTTTAATTATGCCATTTTTTTCTTTCTACAAGTTCAGAGTACTGAGGATGATAAGGGTAATGCATTCTCTGGTACATGGGGAAGATTCACGTGAAAATGGTGTAGAGATGGTGTTTAACCTCCTCTAACTTCACAAGGGGGGAGGGGAATCAAGATCAACAACTCAAAGTTGATTCCTATGAGGTACAGGTCAGACATCCCTCCACCTTACAACATTTTTTACCAATTCTGACACCAGCCGTCCCTCCCAACCCTCCCAGGGCACTCTCTGCTTCTCTGCTGGGTTTGATAATTCACTGCAATGGCCACACTGAACTCATACTTAATATTCATGATTGTGGAGTTCATTAGGGAAGCAACAGATTACAATTCAGGATCAAAAACAACTCAGGATACAGTTCTTCAATTAGGACAGCTTCTCAGCTGTGCCTACAGACATATCTGTCTGGCCCTTGGCCTCTCAGCCCCATGGCCCATTGGCCTCAGCCCTACTCTGGCAAGTATTACAAAGCTTTTTTAGCTTTGCCAATAAATGCCCAGAGGCACCCACTCTACAAGTAAGCCTTCTGCTCTAAAGCACTCAGCTGTTTCATTCCATGAGTCCAGAAGCTCACTGCACTGTCTTCTGCCAGATTTCCTACCATGTCTCCTGGTTCTACTGCCATCATTTCTCTGCAGCTGCTTCTCACTGGCTCTCGCTGTCTCTCCATCTCAGCAAAGTGTTATATCTTTCTCTGTCTCCTGGATTGAGGAGGTTCAGCACAGGGATCTCAGGTCCAAAGGACATGCTCCACTCCTGGCTCTTCTTTCCTGATGGCAGTGTGATTCCCATCCTTTCTGCCTCTGGGATTGTTCAAGTCTATATGGATTGCAAAACTGACCAATTCTCCATTAGGGTTCCATACACCTTATTTCCATGGTCCCACCCACACAAGAATGCCAAGCATCTTATATAGTATTAGCAAGCTATCCAATCCCCTTAATGGGCCACAAGCACCTCACATTTGCATAGTCTTACCTAGTCATTTGGTGGGAGTTACAAAGATTATGGCTATAAGCGCCATATTAAGTAATTCACTATACCACAATTCGTCATAATTCTTGAATAACGTGTCTAGTAAAATGAGTTCCCAGATCATTGAAAGAATTTTTGGTACTCCTCAGGCAGGCATTATGTTTCTACAGGTGCCTCTTTTCTACAAAAGATGCAGTGATACATTGGCAGAGGAAAGC